TTAGGACGGATCAGACCAAGGGCTTGTTTGGTATAGCTTAAAAGTCAATTAAAATTTATTTTTTGACCGTTATTCTACTATTCCAATTGTCATTTTTGAATTCTTCTCTCATAGGTAGGACCCATTTTATCTCTAACGGTCAAAAAATCAATTATCAAAATCCCTACCAAACAAGCACTAAGCTGTGTTGTTCTAATGGCATATGGTGTTAAACTGTGTTAGAAAAAAGTAAAGGTATTAGAAAAAAAAAATTATTACTATAACAACTCTTTAGAGATATTGTACCCAAAACACGAGACTCAGGAATAACTCCGTCAGAATAGTTGTGGAAAGAAGACTATAGAAACAGGTCTGTCGGGTAGAGCCTCAAGATGGATCTACTTAAGAATAGTCATTTATCATTGAAGGATTATTTATAGATTTTGACTGAACAATATGAAATGATTTACTTAATTTTTGTCCAGTTTTGTAAGTTTCCCATCAGTTGCAGAAAAAAAAATAAAAAGGATTTTCTGCATGGATTTGATTTATATACAGCAAAATATTTCTTGCCACTTGAAATCAAGATCCAGCACAATATTTAGTGGTCCAAAAGTTTTTGGGGAATTGGTTTCTATTGTTCTCTACTACTTTTTATATTTCATTGTTCTTATCAAGAAATTTTTTGACAGAAACAACAGCCCTGAAAACTATTTTGCTCCTTCCATGGATGCATCACTAAATTTTGAAAATTGAAATAAGGGTCTGTGGCATTTATATGTTTTTTGGGGGGTAGGTAGGTGCTGTGAAATTAATTGACGCTCACGATACTCTGATTGTTCTTTTAAACCGAGCAATGCGTTCAGAGAGGTTCAACTCAATTCAATTGAATCTTTTTACGTCAAATAAACATTTTTATTTATAATTATTAAACAACCTATCCGTACTTTTTTTAAATTCTCGATTGATGAATGGGGGAACCAATTGAGTTGTTGCACCGGACAATATCTATTTTTACTAGTGAAATTTTGACTATTTATTCTCAGAAGTCAACTTCCATTCATGTGCTTTTTCTTAGTCTACCAGAAACATCTTATATTGGATTCTTTTTTTGCTTTGCTGGATTCACAAAATGTGATTCTTACTTTCTTTTTATCTTAGAACTTGTTTGGGAGTAATTTTGAGAATTGATTTTTTGATCGTTAGAAGAAAAGTGAGATCTACCTGTGAGAGAAAAAATCAAATATGACGATTGAAATAGTGAAATAACAATCAAAAATTATTTTTTTGAAGAAAAAAATCACTTCCAAACAGGCTGTTAGACAGCCACCAAAAAGGACCGTCCAAAATTGCAAAAATAAAATGAAAATGGTTGTGGAAATAAAAAATAAAAAATCTTTTCAATCACTTCCAAAAATCTTGACCATGATTTTCTTCCACCTTTTGTGGCATATCAGAGGGGCAGGTAACAAAACTTTTCATGATGTTGTTATGAAAAAGAAAATTTTAATTATAATTCTTGAAAATATTTAAGTAATTTAGATGAAAATATATTAAGTCCCTGCTTGACAATCATTATTTGAAAAAAATAATATTTTGATTAATAATTTTTAGATAAACGTATGGTTAGAATGTAGAAAAATATTTTGATTTAAGTGCAAAAGATTTGATTGTGTGCATGCATAGTTAAAAATGAGTACGCAGAAAAAAATTCAAATGATGGTTGTCGAACAATGGCTAAATTCCAACTATTCTTTATAATTTTACTTAATCTCCGTGCAATTTGCCCTTTTATATGGCACGATTATGTAATTATTTTTATTTATAGAATGTAACCCTATTATCAAGTATTCTCCTTTGTAATGCTAAAAAATATTTTTTAAATTTATAGTGATACAAATTCTCTTATTCCTCTAAAGATTGTGTTTTCTAGCAGGTAGAATTATTGCATGAAAAAAAAAATAAAAAAAAATTCTAAATCTAAATCTAAATCGTTATGCCATTCTATCATTTTTGGCTTTTAAAGTTTGCACGGGATATATTGGCGTTAATGAATATGAATAATTGTAACTAGTGATATTTATTATTTTAATTTCAAAATGACTTTGAAAATACAATGGGAACCAAATACCTTATCAGATCCCCAGTCACAGAAATGTATATTCGCACAGTAATTAATTTTACAATCATGTCATACAAGTATAAAAAAATTTTGAAAGAAAATTTTTACAGACAACACATGGTACGACATCATTGAAAAATGAAAACAAAGAGAGAAACACTCTACTTACATTTTGCCACGTTAGCGTCAATAAAAGTTTTGTTATATTTCCTTGTACTATGGCTTTGTTGTTAATTTTATTTCTTTGACTCGAAACGATGAAAGATGATTCTTGAATCTTAATCTTAGAATTAGTTGAATTCAACAAAAATGAATTGATTAATTTGACATGTATCTCGTACCAACATGAATAATTTTGGAAGAAGATGCTAACCTTATTCGCTTGGTTGGCTATATGCATCTCACGGACGCACAATGTAATGATTCTTATTATCAAATCGATCGATTCCCATTATTTATCTGCAAAAAGTTAAAAACATAAAAATCATTTTTAATGATATACCTGTCTCCAATTATTTTTAAATTAAAAAGGGATTGTTCTTCTCTCGCAAATTTCATAAATAGTTCTATAACTAGTAAATATAAAAAATATTTTAAGACATAATCATTGGACGGACTATAACTTTGTCTATGCAATGTATGGAATGTGTCTAAAAGATATCAAGTGGTCCTTTTCAATTATAATTAATAATATTACAATTACATTTAGGGCATAATTACGCAGCATTGTGATCACGAATTGCAATTATTTGGAGTAGAATTTACGTTTATCCTAGTACAAGTGCACGTCAGTAGATGTATATATATTTAATTTGAGCATGCAACATTATTGAGTTGAGACATTTAATTTGGTTTAGGTTTCTCCAATTATTAATTTGGACATTTAGCACGTGATTGGTATGGAGACAACAAAGCTTTTAGGATTTTATTATCAATGTAAGTAAGTAGTAGTGTAGTACTTAGATAGTTGAAACATATCGTGTATAAATATAAACAATATCTCGTTTACAAGAAATATAAATTCAATACAACATACTAGTAGGGGAGAGAGAGAAAAAGATGAAAATGATTTAATTACTTAATATTATCAAGTAAATCTATCAATCGAGCATAATAAAAAATAACAATACGAGAGGAAGGATTTGTATATTTCACCCAAATTTATTAACAATACGAATTATTATTATGATGTCATCATTTAATATTTTCATATACTAACTTACTTACTATTATTACATATGTTTAAAATGTAAAATGGGTTAAGTTGACTCCTTCGATAGAGCAATGTCCAATATGATTCATTCGAAGTTCTATTCAATCCACGACTTTGACGAACAAAATTAGGTTAGTATTTCTAGAAAAATTGATCTTGATAGATCCTATATACAAAATAAATCTTTTAATTGTTTCGTCCTATATAATTATTATTATGCAAGTCGTTCTAATTTTACAAAAAGTGTCAGATTTTCCCATTATAACACATCCATAATTATTGACTGCTAGATACAATTCCATGTCCATACTAATTAATGTAAGCTATTTTATTTTTCTCAACCTTAAACACCAAAGTCCAATTTTCCCTATGTACCTTTGAATTATTGCCGCCAGATGCATTGAATTTTTGTCACTAGTCTACATAACATCAAATGCACATACTATAATGTCCAATTTCAAATGTCAAATATCTTTTGAATTAAAGAAAAAGATTTTGTAATTTAATTCCAACAACAACAACCACCCAGTTCAATTTTTAGTCAGAGTACAATGGAAGAAATCATTCCACCTTGGCAGCATGAGATCCATAAAAAAGGTTCATACAAATTAATCTGAATAAATAGAGATTAAAACATTGGATCCATTGAAGAGAATAATATGTAGACAAATTATTTGAAAAATAAATCAAATGAGAACGTTAAGATAGATGCACGGTCACATTAGAATGATAACATAAATATTATAAAGAGATGACATAGATTGAAGATTTATTAAGGGGGCGTTTGTTTTTCATTTTTGTAAAAATAAGTATGAAAAATATAGTCGTTATGGTTCCGCACAAGAGATAAAATTCAAATTTGGTAGCTTGATGTGATAGATGACGATCATATTTTTCATTTTAATGAAAAAAGAATGAAAAACAAACCGGCGCTAAATGAAAGACGACTTAGATGGTGAGATAACTCAAACTAATGCAAACAGATTGAGATTTTATAATTTTTTTTAATCTTTTTAATAGGTGTAAATGAATCGTGTAAAGTGGCAAATGAAATTAAAGTAATATGCATATCAACTTCTCTTATGTGAATTAAAAAATTTTATTTTTATAAGAGTAGTGTTATTTCAATAGATCTAATTACAAAGAGATATAGACTACCGACTACCATATAAATACTCAATTTGTTGATAGAGGCATTTCTTAATAAAAAATAAAATTTAGCTCTTGTACAGAGAGATATAGACTACCAACTTCTCATTCTTTTTTCATTAAAATAAAAAATATGGCCGCTATTTATTACATCGAGCCATCAAATTTGAATTTCTATCTCTTATGTGTATCCCGTAACAGTTATATTTTTCATTCTCATTCTTTCAAAAATGAGAAACAAACGGGAGCTAATCGTTGATGAAATAATTTCTTGCCGAGAGAAACGTCGGGGACAAACCAAAATCATTTTTAAAAAGGAAAATTTAATTATTACAAGAAAGATATATGTTAACTAGAAAAAAAAAAAAAAACAAACAAAATTGAACAATCTCCATCTACTTTAATGGAGAGACTACTACACCCATAAACAAAACAGAAAAATACTTTAGTTACTCAAACGTCATTAAAAAAAAAAATTGAAAATACTATCCGTTCGCCGAATAACAAAATTTGCCATTAGAAATGGCAAGCCGGCGATGGAAGAATATGAAGAGAAAGATTTACCATAGTGCCATTATCTCATTTGCACAAGCAAAATCGCCCAAATCGTTGAAATAATCATCAACTTCTTGGAATGTATCGTTAATATCCTCGAAATTAATGAATTCAAAGCCGTTGTCATCATAAGCCGGAATTTCATTAACATTTCCGAAATCATCGGTAAAGTCGAACAATGTCTGGTCTGGAGTTGGGAAATTGAAGAAATCATCCAAGAATTGAGTGTCCATGGGCAAATAGTCGTTTGAACTGTCTGGTATCATACTTGTTTCTCCGTGAAATTCTTCCGGGTCCTGAATCCGGTCAAGGCAGGATCCGGATTCATAACTTTGTTGGGTCTTTACATCCATGGAACCAAGAACAAGGAACTCGCCAGAGCCAGATGGTTCACTAGATTGAGTACTGGAGAACCGGAGAACAGAGGTCGGAGAAGAAACATTATGCATCTCTTTATCAGACTCGTAGCCGGAAACTGACGTCACATTATTCTCTGACGTCTCCAAGGCCGCCGGATTTTTGAAATTTGTTAAAGCATCCGGTCCCCGGAGTTTAATAGCAGCATTGTCATACACCATAGCAGCCTCCTCTGCAGTTTCATAAGTACCCAACCAAAGCCGGACTTTTCGAGTCGGGTCTCTTATCTCGGCTGCCCATTTACCCCACGGCCGCTGCCGAACGCCCCTGAACTTCCGAGCACCACCACAGGGCGCCTTCTGCTCCGCCGCCTTCACCTTCATTGGCTTCTGCTTGACCTGAAGCTTACTGTTAAAGCCATTGACATGGGTTTTGCTAGCTTTTTCAATAGTGATTTCTTGAATGTATTTCTTAACACGCTGCCTTCTGAAAATCTCATCTTCGTTTTCATCCCCGGAGGAGTCTGTTGCATCCGGGTCAGTTACCGTTACCCGAACAGTTCTGTGAACATTAGATTTCTGCAGGTTTTGGGATGAGTTTTTGGGGTTTAAATTCGAGGTTTTAATGAGTTTTTTGGTAATAATTCTGTGCTCCGTGTGTTTCACCGGCCATAACATAATGTTTTCCATTGACACCGTCAAGATTCAAACTCTCGGCTACTTCAGATTTCTTTCTCTATTCCCATTGAAAAAGAAGACTCTTTGTGAGTTTATATACAAGTCGACCCCGTTATACTCTGATGAAAAGAAGGGATTCAGAGTGCAGAGCCTTTTAGGAAAGTGAATTTGTAAGAGTACTTAGAGTAGTATATAAATATGTATATATAAGAACAGGAGCGGGACCGTTAATTTTAAAGGGGTTTTGGGGGTTTAAAGACGGATGGATGAGCAAAAAGGAAAGAAAATATTGTTTTCCCTGTAATAATTTATAATTCCCAGGAAATTTTAAGTAAAGATTGCTGAAAAGAAAGAAAGCAAACTGGGTACTGCACTGCTTGTTTGTTTAGGAAAGAAAAAATTGGGTCCTGTGCGTGCGTTTTTAGACAGAAAATAACGTTTGGTAAGAAATTAAAAGCAATCTTAAATTAGATTCTTGAATATTACAGTATCAATGTGGGGAAGTCTTTCTACTTCGGTGGGGTGGGATCCCATGAATGAAAGTTTCAATGAAGGCCACCTAACTTATAGATTCGTTTTAGATTTTAACCATTCAACTTCAATTTGTTTCATTTTGACGTGTCCAAGGGTGAGTGACTTAGTTGCTACCAAAATTTAAGTAATTTGTAATTTCATCTCAACTTATATTCTTTACTCCAGTAAGTTTTAGGAGTGCTGAAACATCGTGTTGTAAAATAAAATGCCTCTTAGAGAGTGTTTGATAATTATTTTTATGAAAAAATAAATTTTAGAATAGTAGATTGATGGAGAATGTGTAGATAAAAAATAATGAAATTTTTTTTTATTTACGTGTAATATTATTTTAATGAAAAATATGTGGTTAAAAAAAAAGAAAAAAAAATATATTGATAAAAATAGAAAGCAAATGAGGTTTTAATGTAAAATGGTGTATTCGGTGGTACTAAATGATATGTACATTGGACTTGTTCCATCAATCATAAATTTTATTGGCCAAGTCATGATTTGCATTTGTTAAGTCAGGCTTCTCATAATTTTTGCAACGATTAAAGACAAAATAAACAACTAAAAGTTGAGCTATTAAATTAGTACATAAATTAATAACAATTACCAATTTACCCCATGTTTGATCTCATTATTTTCAAAGGAAAATGATAGTCTGTCAGGGTCATTTGCATAGACCAGAGCTAGAATATATCTCAAATAAGGGGACCTTCACTCATTTTTTAAGGACAAAAAAATATCCACCCTCTCATAGTTTGGCCAGGGTCTATGCAAATGACCCTGGTAGACTAGCATGTCCTATTTTCAAAATATATTTTTCTCCATCTTCTTTTCAACGACTCATTTTTCAGTTAAATAATATTATAAAGAAATTCAAAAAAAATTATTTTTTTAATTATATATTCTCCATTAATCTACTATTTCAAAATATATTTTTAACCAATAAAAAAAGTTGGCTCAAACAGACGCTAGTATTTTAGATTAATAGGTTATTTGGAATTGGAGGTTAAAACTGTGATTTAGAAGTGTGACTCATGTTCAACTGACCCAATATGTTTCCCAAATTTATTTATTTTTTCATTTTTAATTTTCGAATAGTTGGCTTAGTTTCAAACTATAATTAAAATATCAAAACTTAAACCAAATCCTTTAAATATTGGATTTGGTTCAAAATCATATCAATGACGTGTAAATGATACCAAATTGTTAGTTTCGAAAATACAATTTCGATTTGGTTAATAGTTTGACGATTTTTACTTACCATTCTACCTGCACCAAAATTTGTAAGTAGGGAAACATGCTATCGAAAATTGAAGGATCTCATTCTAACCGATATCAATGATTACGGACCAAGGATGCAATTTTTCAACAATTTAAAGAAAATCTTGGATTAGCTTCTAAATATCTCAGTTCCTTACCTATGTGGATAAGTCTTCCGGGGTAGTCACCGGCCGTCGGCAAGTGGGCCTTAATATTCCGGCCACGACGCGCCGCATTTTACTAGTTGGTACTATGTGGACCCAGATATTTAGTTGGTCCAATGAATAAAGATCAAGTGGTGCTAAATCAGTAATTAATTTTCCGTCTCGATTTACGTGTCCGGGCACGTGAGGCCCAGACAAGAATAAAATAAAGGGTATAAAATTACGTGGGTCAATTTAAAAACTCACTTGTTTGACTAAATTTTATATATTAATTTACCCGTTTTAGTCCTCCATCCACTATACCGTTTATCAATTATTCCATCTGTATTCTCACGATACACCAGAAGCAAGGTGGTGAGGATCCCTAAGATTTTGGTTCAACATTTTTAATTATTCCATGTGTATAGAGAAAGTAGTCATAAAATGTTTACACGTCTCTCACATGAGGCTTACCTCATGTAAATATTTTATTGTCGGAAAAAAATCGCCCCACCTCTCTATTGTGTTTTCTTGGTAACTTCTGTGAATCTTTTGCCTATACATGTAGTCAGCTCCTTATGTCTATTCCTCGTATTTTTACATTATTTTGAATTTCCATTTGAACTCGGTAAAAGAAGGCAAAATGCATTTCTATACTTTTTAGTTGAATGAAAGATTATATCATCACTTTTCTTTGTTAGATTGCATGAATACATAAGCTTTCGAGTACAAATATAGAAAGAAACTTGATGGTATAAACTTTTCATTATTCTATTTTATTTATTATCCTGCTTATAAAATGATGGACCACGCGGGTGACCGCAAACACACATACAAATAGGGTTGGCATTTTTTTATTTAAGTGGGACCCGTGCGCCATGTGAGGATGCGGTGAACGGCGCAGATCGCTTAGCAAAATTCTAAAATGATTGCCGGGTATGTTTTGTTTTGAAAGGTCCACCATAGGTGAGAAAACGCAAGCCTAGCACATAGGCAAGAAAAATGACCAATTTTACGTTACGGTCTAAGGCGTGCTTATACGTGGAAAGAAGTATTTTTATGTTTTGAAATTTAGCTCAACAAAATGTGCTATCACATATGTTCACCTAATGTTTCAAATCACTTTAAATCCAATTTTGTGATATTCACAATTACTATTCACTTACTCACCATATATTTTCTAATTATTTATAAATTAAACTGTTTATAAACACTTTTCAAATAAGATTTTAACTTAAAAGGAAATAAGTCCAACGAAAAATTCGTCATTGTTCAAAACCAGCTCGCCCATGATCATAACTTTTTTTATCCAAAAACAAAGCATAATTTATATGGAGTATTTATGATTTCGATAATTATATTTTTGTTGAAACTTAAAAAATACTTATGAAATTCATATAAATTTTCAAGATATGCGTTATTTTATTTATTTATTGATCTAAAATAATAAAATTAAAATTAAAATTAAAATAGACTTTGCGTTTAATAAATGAATAACACTATATAGTTTCACTGGGATTACAATTTCAATCCAAGTTACAATAAATGATAGGTAGAATTAAATAAGTCATTTAATTTCACATTTCATTCAACCCATCATCCAACACCTTCTATATTGGGATTGTAACCCTTGTGGGGCTAAATAATATTTTTTATTATGATCATGGGTGTCTAAGCTAAATTACGTGGACCTCAACTAATTCCGCGGGAACCTAAAGTTTACAAACAGGTACTCACTTTAGTGATCCTGAGGGGACTCGAACTAATGATTATTGGAAAGTAAACTCAAGGCCACTGACCACTGGCCTGACGATAAATTTTGCTAATTTTATACTATTTGTTTTTGTGAAGGCTGTTATGACCGTGATCTTTTAAGTTTAATGGACGCATTCCCTAATCTCCCCAGTCAATCACTTAAACCCTTAATTTCTCTTAACTTTAATTAACGACTATTAGCTGTTAATGAATCATGTTTTAACAAACATTTAACCTTTTTACAGCTAAGAATGACGTGTCGAGTGCCGCCATTTATAATTCAGTTTGATTACTTTTGTACAGTTCTCTGTATTTTACTTTTGTTTTCTTGTAACTCCTACTCTCGAGAAAGCTTGTGAATCCGTGACTAGCGGTTCTGCCTCGTGTTAAACTAAAGTCTCGTTTGACAGTCATTATTTTAATTTTTTTCTTTTCGTATTTATTTTCAATATATATATTTATAAAATAAAATACTTTACAAAAAAAAAATAAAAAAATTACTCTATTTTTTTACCGCACATTTTTCAAAAAATCACTATTTAAAACTTAAACATATTAATGACCATCAACCAGCTGCAAAAAGATAATTACAATCTCATAATAATAAAATTTAATTACATTTTATTAAATTCACAAATTTTATTTACTGTTTAAAATTTATTAAAAAATTGATTTTTAGCTGCATCAATTAGTAATGTATACGGTGTTGCAAGGGTGATGCTTGTTGGTTAAAAACTTACAATAACTTTTATTATTATTATTGGACACGAAAACACTAAAGAACTTGTGAGTATTTTTTGGTGGACTTTAACAAAAAAAAGAGCTTATGAGTGAAATACTTGTTAAAAAAAAAAAAGAAAGAAAAAGAAAAAGAAAACCGTATCTTTGGATGTCATGTGCTCGTAAGTGAAATAAATGTACATGTTTTGATATGCTCATTTGCTTTTGGTTGTGCCTAAATATGAAAATCACTAGGGATGTCAAACGGTTCGTCGACTCGTCAAAATCGAGCTCATAGATGACTCGGGCTCATCAAATCACGAGCTCGAGCTGAGCACGCTCGGCTCACCAAATGGGCGAGTTGCTCGTCCATGAGCCCTTGGCTCATTGGCTTAAGGGACACAAGCCACGAGCCAGACTCGTGTGCTATAGTGGCCAAATTTCGACCACAATTTTTTTCTCAAAACATTTGCTACCAAATATCGACCACAATTTTTTTCTCCTTAAAACATTTGCCTCCCATTTTCATCTTTAAATTATTGGTTCTTCACTTCTTCTGCTTCACACGATTACAATTTCCTTACTATTCCAATATCTCATATGCCACTATGATAAATTGGAAATTGAATTCCAATTTATTGTATGTCACATCCCACATAAATTGGCAACAAGTATTTTGGAAGCATTATTAATATGCGTGACGAATTGGTGGGAAACTCATTTCAGACTACAAGATTAATGTTAATTTGTCGAAATTACATGTCGTTAGGTAAGTCATAAGTGTTATTTAATGCAATTTTAATCATATTAATCAGAATTTGTTATTTTATAATATTATTTTTAATTTTCTTTAAAAAAATTGTACACGTTAAAACATATAAGTCGTTCGTGTACAATTTTTAATTCTGCCTACTCAAAATTTAAATAGTTGG